CTACATTAAATACTCGTGAAATATGGCTCTTGATTTTTTCGTAACATTTGATACTTGCAAAATTAAGTGAGAATAAGGTACACTTTGACTTCAAGGGGCAGCAAGAGGTACAGATTGATACTTTGAAAAAGAAGCTTGATTAATCAGTACAGCATTCATAAACATTGTATTTGCATTGAACTGACAAGAAAAGAAGCTTCCCAGGTAAAAATGTGAGGCGGGATCCCGCCAATCCCACCTGGGATCCCAGGTTAATCCCAGGTGGGATCCCGCCAGAAATAGGCGGGATCCCTCCTGGGATCCCGCCCGGGATTATGGAACGTCCCGGGAGGCATCCCACCTGGGATCCCACCAATCCCACCTGGGATCCCACCTGAAATCCTGGGTGGGGTCCAAGAAACCATCCCACCTGGGATTTGTAAAAATCCCGCCAATCCTACCCGGGATCCCGCCTGAAATCCCGGGTGGGATCAAAGATATCCCACCTGTGATATCAGATGGGATATCCTACCTTTCCTGGCAGCATCGAATGCAGGTTGTTAAATTGATGGGATCCTACTATCCCACCCTGTCATACACAGGAAATTGATATTTATCGTAGAGGGATTTGAAGACATATAACTTCTGCACCATATTTTTAACTTAATCTGCAAATTTATTAGGAAAATAGAGTTAATATACATGTAAGTCTTGAATAAAATGCAACTTTAATAAGTCTACATATACAATATTCAGTCATTGCAGAACATTCAAATATGTGATTAAATCTTTTGAAAAAAAAACCACAACAACACAAATGCAGTATTTTCATGGAGAAGTTTCATTCGAAACCCCAAGTTAAAGTTTGCTTAATTTGCTTATCGTGTAGACTTTTGGCTGATGTCGTGCTCTTCAGTGCCATACACTTTTCTTTTGACTGCAACGAATAAGTATCTGCAAACAGAAAAGTTGAGATTTTAAGGCAAATGAACACAAAAACAACCTGACGTTTTAGAATTGAAACGAACGAGTATCGAAGCGTGATCGAAGGTGACCGATCCAACTTGTTCAGGTACGCGAAAAGGGGAGACAACACGGGTAAATCGAAACTCAAGTTGAGAAAAACATCACTTACCAACGTTAGGAATACTTTTTGTTGAACCTGGCAGGAAAACGACTTTAAATAATTGAAGTAAAAAGAAGCGTCTTCTTGTAAAGACGCATGCTTTACAGTTCGTCTTCTTTGACTTGAAAGTGCCCGCGTGGAATCAGCCAATTTTCACACCTTTTCATTGGTTGAAATGGCCCATGTGACGATAAAACGCTGAATACGCATGTGTTGAACTCACGGGCTTCCCTGGGAACTAGTGAAAACAAAATGGCTGACAAACACCGAGGACTGCAGCTAGCGTTTCGCAGTTTTGACCATGAATTTCTATCCAGGAGTCGTCCATAGTCAAGACGAAGGATCGAAGCTAATATAAAAGAAGAAAATGATGCATGGAGGTATCATTTCAAGTGAAGAAACTCTAGGGAAAAGCTAGAAAGGAAAGTTAAGTCAGGAATGATGGATGTAGCGATTCATTAATGCTTTACAAAAATCTTCTCACTAATTAAGAAACTATCTGCAAGCACAAAAAAAATTGTAGTAAATGATTTTTAATTTTTTTAGTTTTAAACACTGCTTTCTACGTTGGAAGTATGCTTTTTGTGTGTTTGTATAAATAAATATTGTTTTGTTGAAAGTCATTTTTACGTGTATGTACAGGACAATTTATGAACGAAGGTGTCATTTTCTGCTTATAAAAAAACATTTGTAATTTAATACAATAAGTTGTCCTTTGAAATTAAATTGTACAGGAAGACGATAAATTTCAGCCGTATTTTTAACTCCACATGCAGAAATGTAGAATAATAAGTTAATTAGACTGCTTGCTAAGATATGTTTAACACATAATTATATATAACCTACATGGCTGTTAAAAGTCTTCTTAATTAAGTTTGACTTAACTTTTGCAAGTATGAATAAATCTTCTAAAATCCCAGGTGGGATCGTACATGTGAAATTATCCCAATGTTCCCAGGTGGGATGTATGTAAAGATCCTGGGTGACAATGTGTGATCCCAGGTGGGATATGTGAATCCCACCCAGGATCCCGGGTGGGATGTGTGGATCCCACCCAGGATCCCAGGTGGGATGTGATAATCCCGTGTTTTAGGCGGGATCCCAGGTGGGATTAATTTTTAATCCCAGGTGGGAATGGCGGGATCCCGCCATTAGAGGCGGGATCCCGCTAATCCCACCCGGGATCCCAGGTGGGATTAGCGGGATCCCGCCGGGATCCCGCCTGACTTTTTACCTGGGTTAAACAGAAGAAAGATTACACAAGTATTTTGGACTGCACTTGACTGTTTTTTCTTTTAATTGTCGTGTGCTTAAAACATGATTGATTTTGGTTCGAGTTAGCGCGAAGTTCAAGTTTGCTTGGGTTCGAGTTATCGGGAGTCAACTGTATCTCAAAAGTGAACGTGGAGACTCCCCCATTTCCTTATTTTCTGCAGTCTGAATGTCACAAGGTGTGTAAAGAAAACAAAGAAGCACTTATTCATAGAATTTAGTTTAAATAATCACAGTGCATATCAGAAATGCAACAAAAGGTCCACTTATTTCTGTATATTTTGGAATGTTTTCCTTGTTTTGCTGCAATTTCTCTCTCACACTGAAATTTTGATCCAAGGCGGACGATGAAAACCTCCAGAATCGGAGTGTCCGACTTGTTTCTAGCTAATGTTGGGCAATTGGAAGGTAAAGATTGAAAGTGGCATGAATTCTGGTTTGCAAGTTCAGTTGCTCAGTCTGGAATTTTTTTCTTCTGAATGTTTAAATTCCCACGCACCAACTTAATTTCTCCTTCCAGAAAAGTCAAATGCCAAAAAGTTGATAGTTTTAATAGGAAAGTTAAAATGCTCACAATAAAAGAAGTAGTTTTTATGTTAATGTTCAAGAAGCTTTGATTGGTGGGAATTTACCTGCAATCAGTTGTTTTTCTTCCCTTTGTGTTTGGGAGATGAGGGGAAAAGGACACCTGATACATTTAATTTACACAATGTCCGCCTGTAGTCCAGCATCTGGACTTTTGTTGGATTGGTCAAAAAACAAAAGATCCTTCGGAGCCCTGTACTACCTGGTCAAGCAACATATCTGACTTCCGGAGCTGTTAGATAGGTTTTGTCACCCTTGTCTCTTCATGACAGAAACCACGAGATGATCAAGGAATTCTTTTAACAGCAAGCTTAGGTTTTAATGCTAGGTCTTAAAAGAAAAAAATCAGTACTTTTTTTAATGAATCAAGTCAACAATGAACAGAGAAAAACCTTGACAGCTGAGATGAGGACAAGTTGTTATTTGTCACAGGCAAGGATATCCGCTTTTTCTTCTTTGACACTTTCTTGCTTGTACATGTACCAGGTAGAATGGTTTTCTTTGATTTCCGATCAAGTTCAACTGTGTGGGAGTTTGTAAAAAGATAATAATTGACGATTTCAAACCTGCCTTTTTGCGAACTGATGAAAGACCATGAAAGATTTGTTGCCGCAGAATCAATTCCTATACTTTTGACCACTTCCGGTAAAATACAGAATTCTATTGCTCCACTGTTGTTCTCAATGAATTTTTAGTAATTTGTTTGACTTGACAGTTTGAACAAAGGTATCACACAGTAGTGATAAGGCAAGATTCGCAATAACAGCAGTGCTAACTTGGACTTTAAAAACCAGAGATGTTTTTTATTGACCTTTCTATAATAGCTGCCTTTGTTGCAAACCGCTTGAATTTCCGGTAAAATCTGACACGATAAACGATAACACAAACGTTAATAGTCACCTTAATTAGGGGGTGGCAGATCACTCGTGAAGTAAATATATCAGGCATTTTTTTTTTTTTCCCCCTTCCCCCCCCCCCAAAAAAAAACCCCTGATCGTAGGTTAGGTAGGAATAGACCATTTTTACGATGACAACATTTGACTACAACTTCCAGAATTCATTTTGTTTTTGCTTTCTTATTTAAATTTCTCTATCCCACTGAGGTTTAAATTATAAACAATAGTTTATTTGCACAAGAAAACAACAAACTGAGGGATGCTGGTAGTTGTAGTGAAATGACGTCATCATGCAATTGTTCTTTTGAATTTGACTTGGGTCTAAACATTTAGACCCAAGTCAAATTTAGAAGGATTTCTATGGAGTCATCAAAGCATAACTGGGCTAATATATCAGAGACAATTTGCCCCGAAATGCTAATTTTTGTCAAGAAGACGTCTTGGACTTTGTTCTTTCAGAATATCTTGACAAATCCTATAATTTCACAAATTTAATTTTTTGTGACGTCACACTTTAGTACTCTATGACCCTAAGTGGATGCCTTTACCAAGCAAGGGTGTGTAGTAGTTACAGGAGAGTTAACTGAACTTACAGTAAAACCCTGCGTATAAGAACCTGGGTTTTAAGAACCTGTTAGGCTAAAATTTTCATTTTAAGCCCCCTCCACATAAGAACCTATTGAGGCTAAAATTTTACGTCAGGTTCTTATCAGTGAAGTTGCTGTAAAAGTGTATGGGTCGAAACTGCTGAATTGAGATCATCATCTGATTATATTTAAAAGTAACTTGACATAACATTTTGTTAAGGACATACTTGCACTATACTGCCTTTAGGCATTACTGTATGGTATGAATGATTTTTGAGATGATTGTATTATGAGATGATATTTATAATATATTTAAATGAAATTCATTTGAAAATATAAGAACCTATTTGAAGAACCTTTGTAGTCTAAATTTGCTTTAAGTATACCATTTATATAAGAACTTGTTAAGGCTAAATTAAAAAATCCAGGTTCTTATATGCAGGGTTTTGCTGTATCTGTACGAGGAAGAGATGTTTGTTAATAATCATTTATTCTTTTCTTTCTGGCATTTTGCCTAACTTAAATTTAATTTGTGATGTTACTTTTTAACATTAAGGGAAATTGTTGATTGAGACACCGTGGCACAGCACCAAGAGCTTAATAGGAAGAGGAGATAGTGCTCATAAGAATATGGCAGATGTTCCACCTGCACTCACCCTAGAACTTCCCAAGAAAAGTGATCTTCCTAACACATTCAAACCTTGGAATGAAGTCCATCTTCCAATTGACATTCTTTTGTTGACAGTGGATGACTGTGAGTTCTTAGCCTGTTTTACATACTTGAGAAATGCCATTAAAAGTTACCAGAAGAACCTTGGATTTGTGTACTTTGGGAACATGGGTGAAAGTGGAGATGTGCCCCTAAAAGTTGCTTTGATGACATGTTTTGAAGGCTCTTCCGTTCCACATGGTTCACTGGTCACTGTTAAGAATGCTGTGGTAGAACTAAGACCCAAAGCTGTTTTCTATATTGGATGCTGTGAGGGGTTAAACCCCGAAGTCACCAAGTTACAGCTTGGTGATGTGGTGGTATCCTCTAAGCTTACAACTGAATCATTAAAAACGCCGGTGGGAAGAGATATCTTGCACCTTGTCAGGCATGCAGATCATGGCTGGATCCCGCCATTAAAATGTCCAGAAGATCGTAAAGTTCAGGTCTGCTGTGGTGGGGATATTTTAAGTGGCATAAAGCCAGTCAGTGCTAAACAGCAAAACATGTCTCATATTACTCAAGCTACCGCATTTGAAATTGGTGGTGAAGGTAAGATATTTATTCCCTGTTAAATGACATCATTTCTCGCTTGTTACGTTTTCTTACAAGAGGCATGGTGGCCTGTGGTGAACATAAGTATAGGGGGGGGGCGGAGCAGAGAGGGGGGGGGTCATGAGGTTTTAAGCCTTGCGTAAGGGGTGGGTCGTGCGATTTTCAGCTACCCTTAGGGGGTGGGTCACCCTATTTTATAACATAGACGGGCACACATTTAAGTCTTCATACCAACGGGACAGTTGACCACACTGTCTTGATATATAAAACACAGCCAGCTGGAATTACTGCTAAAAATACTCTCAAATCTGTTGTGTCCTTTTTAAAATGCAATTTTAATAAAATGTAGGATTTTTTTTTACATTTCATTGCTGTTTAAAATTCTGATGCCTTAGTGCGGTCTCCTATGTTGTAACTTGTTACATATATTCTTGAAAGAAAGCAAACAAAGAAACACGAGGTCCTATTTCTTTTCATAACAATAGGTATCAATATTATAACGGTTTGTAAAATGGAAAAAACAAACGAACGAACAAAACAGTCTGAATAGATACATGTAACACTGCCATGTAAAAGTTTCTGGTATTTTGAATACGTTTGTTAGGATTGTCTTGATATTTCTGCTTATTTTATAAATCACCGTTAACATATTGTTCCATAAGCTCGGCCTGTTCAACCGTCATCATCTCTTGCTCTTCAAAATCTTCATCACTGCTCTTGTCACTTCTACCTTCACCACTGCCCTCTCCATCACCGCTCTCATTGTCACTGCTTTCTTCATCTGTTCTTCCTCTACTGTCGTCCTCGCTTTTGCTGAGATCCTCGGCTATCGCCTTGTGCACAACTGCCTTCAGGTTCTGAAGAAACTCGCTTGTAACGTTGATCGGAAGTTTTTCGCTCCTGAGGATGGCTTTAATCCACTTAACTTGGCGAAGTTGGAGAAGCTGTACCTTGTTCAGGTCAAGATCAGTAACAACACCACGGCTTCTGTATGAGGGAGAAATGCTGGAAAGTATCTTGTCGATATTAACTTGCATCCTTTTCATTTTCCTCGTCCTTGCCTTTGTTCTTCCTTCTTTTACCCGCCTGCTGTTTGTTTTGAGGTTTCCTCTAGTCGTAAACTTATACAATTGATTGTGCTTTGTTATCAGGTCTAGTAACGTTTGCTTGATTTCTCGGGCCATTGCTTCATTCTCGCGAAGTGTCCCAAAACACTTCTCATGGAACTGGTGCGCACATTCGTTACCCGTCTTGAGTTTAGAAGTGGTCTTGGAAAATAGTATAAAGGCCTTGCTTTACTTTGTGCTGTTTCCTTAGACAACAAACTTTGATTCATGTCCCTCTCCATCCAGGTGTGTAAATGGGTGCTGGTTATGATCCTTTGTGATCCTGTTTTCAATCTGATCTTTCAAGATCTATTCTATGTTTTGACAATGATGTTTATGTTTATTAACTTCCTGTATTTTCTATACTAAATTATGCATAAAAAACTGATTGGAGGACAGTAGTTTAAATGGTGTTTTCCTTTGGATAAAATACAACAGGATAGTTAAATATTATTCCATTAACATCCTTATGCATAAGATGGTTTTTTATTTGTTTGTCCTGTTTTTTGTTATTTAAATAATTTTATGCTGATTTATATGTGCCTTTTAAAATCACTCAGTGTTACCATTTTCTGCTTACCCGTTTGCACAGTAAATGATTTATTGTTGATGTTGTCACATCTTGATCACCCCTGGTTGTGATACTCACTGGTGGATCTTTTTGCATCTTGAATTATTATTAATCATTTTTTGTTTTTTTCCAGGCCTTTTTGTTGCAGCACATGATCTTAAGATTGAATGGGTGATTGTAAAAGGTATTTCTCACTTTGCCAATGGTAACAACCCAGCAGAAAATTCTTGGGAGAGTCATGCATGCATAATGGCAGCTTCTCTTGTGTCCAACATGTTGAAGGATCCATTTGTGTTTGAACAATGGCCTCATTATGAAGGTAGGTGTCGTGCTCCTTTATTAAACCATGTGATAATTAATCCTTACCTGTGTACAGAAGGTCAGTGTTTTTGGTTAAGTACTGAGGTTGATTGAAAGTACTCACTTTCAAACCTTGTTAATTAATCTGTTATAGTAAACTTGAAAAAGGATGGAGTTCAACATTTTTTTGGTCAACTCACAACTGTTGGAAACTATAAAATAGGTAAAAGAAAATTATGAGGAAAAGGTCACAAAGAAATTGGTCAGGTGGACATGAAGGAGATGTTTCCAGATAAAATTGATCACCTGCTTACCATACTATTTTAGGCAGTAAGATTTGTGGGTTGGTACTCTGCAAGTGCATACTTAGGGACCTAAAGTCTAAAATGACCCTTGTTTAATTAGAGCTTAAGTGGTATCTGTTAGGAGCCTGTAAGGTCATTGAGTGGGAATTATTTTGTTACTCAAGTGATTTTTGGTGCCTCTTAGGCATTAAAATGAATTTCCTCCTTGCCACAAAGTTAGATTCTGTTACTTTCTAGGGATACTTTTGGATTTTTTTTTTTTACAAAACCCTGTTTTTTGTTTTGTTTTGGTTTTTGTTAATTTTAATTTTATAGAGGGGTATCTCCTTATATTGGTACCTTCCAGGGTTAAAGTGAATTTCCAACATGCCCTCAAAGCAAGATTCTGCTACCTTTAGGGATGCTTTTTGTTTTTATTTTTTATTTTTTCACAAGCGCCCCTATTATCTTTAATGTTTTATTTTTTGTAAAGCAGTTCTGCTATTTTTAAAGGGGACTATCTCCTCCTCCTTTTCGTACCTCTTATAGAGCTTAAGGGGGGAGACTGGTCAAAATTTTAAGGAAATAATGTTGATTTGGAAAGGAAATATATGAGGGTAGAATAGGTATACGCATAAACCAGTTAAACCACTAATGGGATCAGAGGCACCTTGTTGTGGTGGTGGACTATCTGGTAATCGTCTACCAATTACTAACTTCATATTTTAATTTTTAACAACCCCCAATTCAAATATTTTCCCATTTTTTCAAAATTTTAAACATCTCCCCCCCCCCCCCTAATTTTTATACATTAAAAACATTCGAAAAATCATCCAAAAATTCTTAAATAATTATTAATGACTGCAACTTAATTGAGTCATTTTTTAATTGAACGAAATCTTGGCTAGATATTTAAGAAAAAGAGTTGAAATCAATGAAAAATTATGCTTTTAACCAGACTCCCCCCTTGAAATGAATTTTTTCGATGTCTACAGCCAGGATTTTTGTACCTTTTAGGGATACTTTTGAATTTTTTATTTGACTAGCACCACAGCTCTTTAATAGGGTAGCATCTCCTCCTCCCTCCCCCTGAGAATACTAGTAACCAACTTAACAGGGCTGTCACTAAGGGCTGAGAGACATAGATTCCCACTGGCTACGCCTGGTTACTTTCATAGGAATTAAAGGATAATAGGACCAAAAGAATTTCCAGGATGTTCTGTTCCCCCGCTCAGCAACTTTAAACCACAGTGACAGCCCTGAACCCTAAGCAGTAAGCTATCTGCACTGCTGGCTTTATTTTCTGATTTTAGATCATCGTAGAACTCTACCCTCTGACTGGTTGATAGCTATAGGTTTTGAAAGGTCCAGTAAACATTTGAAGGGCTTATTTCCTGTTTTGAAAATGTTTTTGAACTGCAACTGCTTTATACTAGATTCCTTTCAGAGTCAACTCAATGTGCAGGAGAAATCTTGCATAACTAAGTTTAAAAGACACATTTACTGTCTAAAACTGTGCACACTGCAACCAGGCATCCTTTAGTGAATTAAAATGTCAGTATCACCCACAATTAAGTAAAAGCTAAGATGTAAGCTTTCAGTCCCAAGACAAGCTGCTCAGTGCTTTTTGTCATTGAAACTTTATTATTCAGACTCAGAACCTAAAATGTGACTAGTAAAAAAACTGACAGATTGATAAACATTTTCCCCAAATACTTTTGAATAACCCATGTTTTAAATGTCTTAAATTTCTTTTCTATTTTGTTTAACTCACAGACCTGTCAGCAAGGAAACAGCCCTCTAGCTCTACGGCCACTAAGGAGGTGTCACCAGGTACTATTATATCCTATAAAGCAGAAATGGTACCAGACATATAGGGTCTGCCGGATTATGCTCGAAAAATAGAGTATTATGCTTTCGGGCATCACCCGTGAAACTAGGGTATTGTTGTAAACGGGAGTTGATTTCGTGACCAACAGATAAGTGTCGACTGCTTGAGTATCTCTAGACCTGGCCGGTTTCGGGCTATCAGTATTCTAAGAGACTTGCACACATTCAAGTCCTGATCACATTCATCGTTTATTGCTAAATCAAGGTACTTTTATACATATTGGTAGCTAAATCATACGTTGGAAGATATAGTAGGGAATGCATGTGGTTTCCTTTCTAGTAAGTATTACACCTACATTACTTACGTAAATCCTGAGCGGCTAGGTTTGAGTAATCATTCCAGCCTACACAAAATCCTAAAACCAGTTTAAAGGGTGTAGCTTGTAGCTTTTATGCTATTCCGATCGCAAGGCACATCTAACTATCTACTTTACACGATGCACATTTTTGCACGCTTGCTTACACAATAGGGATCATGTTTCCGGTTCCTATCAAGCTAGTAATTGATCTATTGTTCACTCAAGATTAACAAGTCACGATTCATTGTACAAAGTGTCACAAATTCTTTAACTTTACTACAGTATTATGCTGAAAATTATGCTCGACTGGAGGTATTATACTCAAATTATGCCGGACTAAAATGACACTTCCACCCCCCCCCCCCCCCCTCCCCCATAGGCCTGTATCTATTAATAAACATTCCTAGTCTTTCATTTTTGAAAGAATTGTTAGACAATAATTATTCAGTTAAACATTTGATGAGCAAGCGAAAGGTCGGAAATTGTGAGGCATTGAAAGGCTTACTATATGTCTTTCTCCAATGAACTTGGATTATAGCAAAATGCACTGGGTACAACTCTATAACGTATCAAGTTAAAATATTCCCGCTTTTATCAACTTTGTACATTCTAGAGTGTCGCTAAGAGCGAGTTGCTGGCAAAATTTGCATACACCACTCATAGTTTTCAGAAACAGAGGCATTATGCTCCAAAAATATTAATATTATGTCAGCATTATGCCTGATGCTCCAGATATAGTATTATGCTCAAAATTATGCCAGCAGAATCCAGCAGACCCTACAGACATACATAGAGGATATTACACGGTGGTGAGAAGATATGAATTTTATTTTCGAGTGGCAAAACAAAAGCCACCGTGTAATGTTCTTTTTATTATATAGACAAAAAGACATCAATAAAATAATAGATTTTATTTGCCAAAAAGTAATTGCGACGGCTCAAATTTACAGTACAGCAATATGACATTGGTTACAATAATCTTGAGAAATATCACTGAGCTGAATAGGGCTCTACAATGACAAAATACTAAGCAACGCTTTGAAAAATGTGGAAGTAAAATTCAAAAGACACAAGACGCCTACAAATTTTCAGTGGAAATTACCGACATTACGTCATCGATAAACTCACATGTGAGATTATGGAAAATAAACCAGTCAGGTCCCGGATGTAGTTTTAATGAATTTTAAGAGTGGTATATTTTCCAGTAAAACACTCGTGTCTATATAATAAAGTAGATTAAAATGCTTACTTTCATATGAAAATGACTTTTATAGTTTGTTTTATTGCAGTACAAAATGATCTTTATTCTCGCAGTTGTTTATATTTATTTCAAAAATAAGTAGCAAAGAAGAAGTATGATGTGATACTTTAAGCGTCAAATTCTTTTTCTCATTCAATTTTTCTGTTAGAATTTTGCTAAGGTATTTTTAACCTGCATTAATCCTTGAGGTCAGTTATAAAAAATAAGAATTATTTTTAGCGCTCGACCACAAACGTCACTAACGGCTTTGGACAGGTAGCCCTCTATTGGTGTCTCCTCTTTGAAGCTCTCTTTGTAGGGTAACGCCCCTTTCACTTGCTTTACTGATGCAGTCTTCAAAGACATTTACATATAAATGTTACTCGGCCAAGGCCGCCCATCCCGCCATATTCATAATTTGTAATTGTAATAATTAATGATTCTTTATTTAGCTCATAGTGAAATTACATTTTTAACTTTTTTATAACTGAAATTTGTGCTAGGTTATAACTTTATAATGTAAGAGAAATAATAACTGTGAGCTGGGAAGCTAAATATGTGACCGTCCACAGGATTTTAATGCTAAAGGTGAAAGCACGCGCACGACACGCTTTCACTTCAAAACAAAAGAATTTATTTTAACACGCTTTAGCACGCTTGCAATCTTGCCTTATTAGCAATTTCTTTTGTTTCAGAGGACAAGCTTGAGACAATTAAGCGTGAGCAAGTCGAAGAAAAGAGCGTGTTAAAGTTTTCAAACAAAAGCTCCGTGCGAAAAAGCACAACACGCTTTCAGTGTGCGCAAAACCACGCAAGGCGTGTTATCTATAAGCTAAATAAATTTCCCCTACAGAAAGGAACCGTAAATGATTATGAACGGCACCCTTTTTTGGTAACTATCGAGAAAGAAAAAGTTCTACCTAAGCGATCGCAGCGATAGCATCTGATTGAAAAAACGTTGTCACTTGAAAAGTGTGAACGGTGGGCTTCAGCATTATTTTCCCGAAAAATTTAGCTTCCAATTGAAAGTTTTAGGAAAGCGAGAATTTCATCGTATTTTCGGTTCCGAAAATTTTAGGATTCCTTTCTCTACGAAAAATAGCTGGGGATAGATAAGCTTCGAAAATTGTATGTGCATGGAACGGTCATCTAGAAATGTTTAGCCTTCCTCAACCTATAGAAAATTCTAGGCAGTTTTTGTTTCTCCGATTTAATTACCTTCGTTCGTCTCAGCATGGCTTAAAGAAATATATTAAACTAATTTATTCAACTTCATTTCTCTGTGCATTACTGCAAATAAATATTCTGGTACGTGACATAACTATAATTTTCAGGCGACATAACTTTAGTGCCTCGCATGCGATAGCAGGCCTCTTTACGATTCCGATCAACAGCCGACAGCCGGAGAAATTGGTTTACACTGACCTCGCATTAATTCCAGGCTAGATGACCATTAAGTGGTGATTTTCAAATGGCTATGGTTACGATCTTACGATCTTACATGTCTTACCCCAATTGCACGCTAAGCGTGCTATAATTCGCACACTTACCGTGACATATGGCACGCTACAAAAAAACAAAAGGTCTAGCGTGTTAAAGTTATCAAAACAAAGACAAGTTTGTCCGTCTTTGTTTTTTCAATTTAATATGCGCATATCCGTGATCTACGGCACGCTAAGCGTGTCGTGAGCGTGCTTTCACCTTAAGCATCAAATTCCTGTGGAAGGTCACATATACGTAACTGTGAAGAAAGTGATACCTTTTTTATGACAGCCGCAAATAGTTAGACTTTCTAGTCTTCTGGCCATTAAGGACAATACTTGTAAATCATAATAACCACAGGGTTTGAGCCAGGCCGTGCCATTGCGCCAATCCCGCACTGCAATTGAAATTGTCCCTTAAAAAAGCGGCCAAGGGGACAATTTGTCCCCTTCAAAATTTCAGGAAAAAACTCGAAAGGAAGCACACACGAAGAGATTTAGTTCAGTACAGAAATTGCAAGCTAAAACACAACATGGAAAGTATATTTTAGCATTCTAAAGTCACGTTTCAGTCATGCTCTACTGAACACATACGTTTCATGCTCTAACCAAGCGTGGTGAACGCGCCTGGCAATCGTTAACATGTCACATCGAAAACGTGTTCGAACATTAGAAAGCTTTTTCACTTCAAATCAAAGCCAGAGTGAATCAGGGAAAAATGATACAGAAGAAGAACAGTGTATTAATCAGGGAGAAACGGAAGAGGATCGAAGGAAACCGAAAAAATCACGACATCACACGTGGTTACGCTATGAAAAGGTCTCAGGCGATCAGTTCAGCTATTTTTGTCAAAAATCTAACTGAGACAAACCTCTTTGCATCAGCAGAAGAGTGTACAGATTTCTGTCCCCCTAAAAATAAAAATGTCCCCCTGAATTTTAGCCAAGGGGACAAATTGTCCCCCAGTGATCAAATCCTAGCTCAAACCCTGTAACCATCATACATGTATATAAAAATTCCGTGAGACATTAAAGAACCCACACACTGTTAGTTTATAAAGAGCAGGGGACGTGGTCCCTGCAACTCAAGTTCCTGCTGTTTATAATGTCGCCAGTAAACACTAAACTTGAGCTTGAACTTGAGTTTGTTTCATGAGTGCAACCATGATATGGTATGTCATGTACATATTTTGTCATTGGTATAAAGATGCAGGTACTCATTGTTAAATTATATTAAAATTACAAACGGCTGGCATGTGGAAAATTCAAAAAATGGTTTATTTTGAAGATTTATTAAAAGATTCATGAATCTCCTACAGCAAGACAAAAAGCATTTGATCCAGTTCATTGTCTCCAAAAAAGCAATTCATTTAACAACATAAGTTGTGAACAAGACACTGGTGAAATGACTAATTATTTGTTGTTGTATTTCAAGGTCCATCTATATCTGGAAGGGTTGAGCAAGCTGCCCCAAGCACACGTTCTGTTACAGGTGAATAAGAGATTACTAATTCATTGTATGTGAGAATCACAACAGCTCCCTGACAGTAACCAGCTACTAAACTTTGTCTTCTATCTATTAATTCTTCAAGGTTCACAGCAGGGAAGTATCTTCTCCTCTTTTTGGTACCTCTTATAGATCTTAAAAAAATGAATTTCTTCCATGCTGACAAAGGAAGATTCCGATACCTTCTTTGGATACTTTTTGAATTTTTTATTTGACGAGCACCACAGTTGTTTAATAGGGTAGTATATCCTTCTCCCCCACCTTCCCCCACCACGCCCTGAGGACACTAGCGACTAACTTTACAGGGCTGTCACTAAGGGCCGGGAGGTGTGGATTTCCCCTGGCTGCTATGAGCATGACCCTTGGTTACATTCATAGGAAATAAAAGGAAAATAGGACCAAAAGAATTTTCAGGATGTTCCATTTCCTGCTCTGAAACTTGAAACCATAGTGACAGCCTTGAACTCTAACCAGTAAGCTCTCTGCTCTAGTGGCTTTATGTTCTGGTATTAGATCATTCTAGAACTCTACCCTCTGATTGGTTGGAAAGGCCCAGGAAATATTTTGTTTTGTTTTTTTTTCCTGTTTTGAAAATGTTTTTGAACTGCAACTGCTTACTAGATCCCTTTCAGAATCAACTCAGTGTGCAGCTGAAATCCTGCATAACCAAGTTTAAAACATAAATTTATTGTCTAAAATTGTGCACACTGCGACCAGACATCATTTAGTGAATTAAAATGTCAGTATCACCCACAATTCAGTAAAACTTTCAGTCCCAAGACAAGCTGCTCAGTGCTTTTTGTTATACAAACTTTATTATTCAGATCCAGAAACTAAAATGTGAGCAGTAAAAAAACTGACATATTGATGAACATCCCCAAATACTTTAGAATAACTGTTGTTTTAAATGTCTTGCTTCAATTTTTATTCTATTTTGTTTAACTCACAGACCTGTCAGCAGAGAAACAGCCCTCTAGCTCTACGGCCACTAAGGAGGAGTTACCAGGTACTATTATATCAATAAAGCAGAAATGGTACCAGAAATACAGCAGATTAAAACCGCTTGCTTGAATATGAAAATGACTTTTATCGTTTGTTATATTGCAATACAAAATGATCTTTATTGTCACAGTTGTTTATATTTATTTCAGAAATAAGTAGCAAAGAAGTATGAATTGATACTTCAAGCATCAAATTCTTTTTCTCATTCAATTTTTCTGTTAGAATTTTGCTAAGGTATTTTTAACTTGCGTTAATCCTCGAGGCCAGTTATAAAAAATAAGAATTATTTTTAGCACTCAACCACAAACGTCACTAACGGCTTTGGACAGGTAGCCCTCTATTGGTGTCTCCTCCCTGAACCTCTCTTTGTGGGGTAACGCCCCTTTCACTTGCTTTACTGATGCAGTCTTCAAATACATTTACATATAAATGTTACTCGGCTAAGGCTGCCCATCCCGCCATATTCATAATTTGTAATTGTAACAATTAACGATTCTTTATTTAGCTCACGGTGAAATTACATTTTTAACTTTTTTATAACTGAAATTTGTGCTAGGTTATAACTTTATAATATAAGAGAAATAATAAGTGCGAGCTGAGAAGCGAAATATACTGTTAGATTTTCTAGTTAGCTCCCCATCCAGTTAAAGTCAGTGTGTAAGCAGGTGAAAAAGAAGAAAATTGAATAGATAAATGAATTAACAAATTGAATTAATAAGGAGCATTCCTTCAACGTTTGATCATAGTATTTACATTCCTACACTATATTCTGGTGTTTTAGAGCCCTGATATATACATGCATTGTTACTTACATTTCTGTTGGTGTATCATGAGTTGAGGATAATTTGTTTTTAAATATGGAAACTTTATTTATATTCGGTAATCTGATCACTTTATATAAATGAGGGCCTATATTTTGTGCGTCAACTACCTCCCTTTAACTTTCCTCGCCTATTAAGATATCAAGTTATTAACAAACAATTCTTTAAAAAAAGGAACGTAAAATTTTCTTTAACAGATTCTCTCTGCCTCAAGGAGTGCCAGAAACAGCTGCGATCAATTTATGAAACCAACAGCAAAGTCAAAATCGTTCCGTGGGACCAAAGCTCTGCCGTTCATATCGATGAAATTTACACCCACTTGTCTTGGCTTATGGATGAGAAGAAGCCCAGCGGAGTAACACAGAAGGAACTTAAACACTACACCGACATTTTTCACTGCGGAAGACTTCATCATAAGCCTAAGCGTATTTTGGTTCACGGACGAGCAGTTGAGGGATTGTTGTGTTATTATAACGTCTAGAGACATGAAAGGAGAGGAATTGAAAAGTTCCAGCGATGCTCAATTTGAGATCGACGGTTTTGACCGTGAGCGACAAGTAGAGTTCGCCCGTAGATTCTTGAAAGATGATCAAGACGTTGCAGAGTTTTTTCAATACTTGCAGCAACAACACCTGCAAGATGTAGCAAAAATACCTATTTTGCTTTTAATGTTGTTGTTGGTTTGGAAAGAAAAGGATTGTGAAGGACTTCCTTCATCACGGGAGATGGTGTACTTTCAGTTTCTACAGACTATGTTTAATCATACGCGTGAAAAACAAAACAAGCCGGCGGAAAAAGTTGACGACCACAAAGAAGAACTCTGTAAAGTAGGAGAACTAGCCTTTGACGCACTTCTACAAGATTTACTTTATTTTCCTCTCAGTAAACTGCCAGATCCCGTTTTGACTGAGAAACTGATCGAGGTCGGGTTGTTTCAGCTGCTAAACATGTCCGCTCTTAACCCGTGCAAAGCCGTTCATTTCATTCACAAATCCATGCAGGAGTTTTTGGCTTCTTTATTTCTGAAAGAAAAACTGTTATCTCAAGAAAGTAAAAACAATTCCCTTTTCAAAGTCGACTCAAGTGAAAAGATCTTCAAGTTGAATGAAGTTTTTAAATTCGCTGCTGAAATGTCAGAAGAAGCCGCGCGCGAGATCTTGATTCATCTGTTGGAAATGGCGGCGAAGGAACACGGAGAGTACAGCTTCGACAACCAAGCACCGTCAGTGAAAGATTTGTCAGAAACACAAAAAAATCTTTTAACTCTATGTACACAGTTATTCTTCTACTGCTCAGCAGACACGAGAACAGAACTTTTCCCCACTTTTCTTTCTAATCTAGGAGGTGTTTTTTTAATAAATCCTGACCAGCTGAATATTGCAGCAAAGGAAAATTTTGTTAAAACTACCGCTTCACATATGTACATATTTTTCTCTGAAAGCAACCAGTTTTCCTATTTTAGGAATCAGTATACAGAACAAGATTATAACAATTTAATTAGTTTAGTACAGCAATTAAACGCTGTTATAGTTAGTAGAACAGGAGAACAAAAAGCATCAGAATTTTTGAATGCATTTCCATGGCGTCAAGTCAACGATTTTTTTTTAATGAAAGAAGAAAACAACACTCACCTTTATTTTACTGACATTGTAAGATGTCCTGGTGATTCTTTTCTTTTTAAAATGGTAAAGAAGTTAGTTAGTTTAGAAGAGACAACAAAGAAGACAAACATGAATGGTGATGAGTCAAGTGAAGAGAGCAGCAGCAGCTGTTGTTCAAAGCGTCATGGTCTCTGCAGGGTTCGGACGATTCAAGCTGAGTGGGTGAACAGGTCAGAAGTGGAACAGCTGATTGAGATGATGCCGTTTATCACCGCTCCACACTGGATATGGGTTTTGGGTGAACACGGTGAAGTGTTTGATGCTGAGGTAACAGAGTCTCTACTGAGGAGCATCCCAACAACACACAAACTGGAGATATTAAGACTCGAGCGTATCAATGTCACATCATCACCTGCTGTGGAGTTCATCAGCAGAGTATTCAAACAAGATCTTCCAAACTTGAAGTCGCTCAACATGTCAGACAATCCTCTTCTGGGTGCAGGAGTCGACAGCTTGATAAAACATCTCAGCTGCGCTCCTCACCTGGAGATACTGTTCCTCGCAGGAGTGAAGATGACTCCACAGCAGGTGATGAATCTCACATCAGCTGTACAGCAGCACGGAAACATCGCTAAACTGGTGTCATCCTACCACGTAAGTTTTCCAATTTTATCGCAATTTGTTTTTTTATTCTTTGTTTACAGTTTATTTCTACTCAGCTCTTGCCTTTCGCCATTTTCCTTTCTTTGTTATTTTTATACTCGAGAAAACACGAGATTTGCTTTTGAAATCAAATCACAAACTTTAGCAGATTCAAAGTATCATTTCAAATTCATTTCTTTCAACTGATTAAACTAACTTCATAAAATGTTTTCACTGAGAACGTTTAGGACAAGTAACTTCAGCTGATATTAAAACATGGAGTTGAACACAAGAAGATAACTTTTGTATGTTGAAGCAACCATAAGGTGAAATTATTGGGTGAAAACAAGAACTTCCAGCAAAACAAAATCATATAATTTCCACAGTATTAATTTCTCAATCAATTTTAATTCATACTTTTTGATAAAGTAACAAACAACAATCATAAAAGCAAATAAAAGATGTTCAGTTCATGTTCAATTCAAACAAATGAGCAAAGAGTAAACACATTGAACTCACAGTTTCACATTTATCGTCCAGGGCTCCTATAAAATCAGTTTAAGTCAAGTGAAGTTCCTTTGAAAGTCCAGAAAACAAACAAGTCTTTTTTATAGCTGTTCTTTTGTTAGTTCTTGAGCGTTTCTTTGGTAAATACTGGTCCTTGCAGTTCGGTGAAGCCATGGTTGGTTTTTGAAATAACAACCCACACAAAAAAATTGTATCTTCGAGACAACGGTTGAAAGCAACACCAAACAAATTTTCCTTACAGATAAACACTTCGCTTTTCTCCACTGTATAGCATAAGTGTCCATTGCATGATTTTCATCGCGTAAATAGCATGAGCTTGTTTTCAATTTTCCAAGAACACTCGCCATACAAATCAAATCCTGCGGAGCTTTGGGCTTTCGTGAAATATCCTTATAAATGATGTTTCCTTGAGCTTCGAACAACTCCTTAGGATATTCCTGAGTAAAAAGAGATGAATCCCTGTCTTGTGTAAAATAATTTCCGTGATGTTTTCTTATTAAATTTTGAGTTCATCCTGAACAGTTTGCCGTTGAAGAGCGAACTGAACAAACTACAAAAACAACAAACGATGTCATTCAAAGCCTAGTGACGTGGCGGCAGCTGATTGGTTAAATCCACCTCGGATGATTTTTCACGTGATGACATTTTCCCGCCTTTCGTTTTATTACGTAACAAATTCCCGCCCGCAAAAAAATACACTGTGATCTGCGAATTTTGTAAGGCAGAATATATTTTCAAAAGAAAAGAAAAAGGAGTTGCTAATTTCGATTTTGATTATACTATTTTGAATGCGAATTTCTTGTACGTGCGCCTTGATAAAGATAATGTTTCTCTTTCCAATCCCGCCGAGAGGGGAGAGGTACTGGTTGGGGGGTAAATCTCCCTCCTCCCTAAACTTGGTTTAAAAATTGGCGATGGGTAACACTCGTTTCTTGAACTTAGTCGTAAAGGAAGTTTTTGACTTTCAGCGCTTCACCTCCACACCAACATAGCAGACAAAGAAGGCGTAACCACCGTGTGTCTAGTGCGGTTTTGGCCCCTCTCTATCTCTCTCTATGTCACGCAACGCCGGAGAGAGAGGGTCCTTCCCCTCATCCCTTATCAGAACGCAAAAAGCCTGAAAATTACCTTTTCATCGATATCTCCCTACTCGCAACATTTCATTTTCTTCCTCCTCGCTACATTTTCGCCCCAAGTTCTCCCTCCTCCCTATTCTGTTTCTCTTCCCTCCGCCGAGAAGTCAGAATCTTCGCTAGGAAAAATTTCTCTCAGCAAATAACTGTAAAGACGCTTAAAAATAGTTTGTCAGTTGTTTTTAACACATTAACCTTATGCTCGTATAATTTTTGACAAGGTACCGGGTTCGAATCCTGCGCAGTACCCTTTCTTTTTTCCTTCTGTCTTTCTCTTTTTTGTTACTTTTTCGTTTTTGTTTTGTTTGCTTATTTGTTTTGTTGTTGTTGTTTGTTAAATATACACCTTGTAGAGCAACGATAGTATATTTATGGATAAACAATCTGAATTTCTATCGTTTCCTACAACTTTCATTCCTTTTTTATTGCAATATATTGTACAAAACTAAAACAGTAGCCATATGCAGTCACAAACTGGCTTTTATTATATAGGCCAAGTTTTGACTGGTGATCTTTGCTTTCGGCATGCGATGCTTGTTTTGAACTTGGTACATCTTGTCAAAGTTGTTTTCATATTAACAATTATCTTTCGTTGGTCAGTGTAATCGTATTGTACTTAAAATGAAGGTTTTGAAATGTGTACACGTCCACACTTTATTAAAGGGAGATGGCTGGTTTTAAGTTTTTTTTTTTTTTTTGCAGGATCGTAAAGGGAACCCCAAACCTGAACATAAATGGCCATCAGAGAACTACTGGAATAGGGAGTACCCTCTCATCTTTCCTGATTCATCACCTGAATCAGCGCACGAGCAGGAGCAGGTTAGTCATCACTCACCTATTTTTGTGAAAGTTTATTTATTAAATATTTAGTAAGACTTTCCGTGTTTGTGTGAACAGTTCTATTTTTCTGTCCGTCAGAGATAATCAAATACGCTCAGAAGCCTTCATTTTGTAAGTCTCCATTGCGGAGGATTTCCGAGTTGGTGATACTGAGTTAGTTTTTAATACAGTAAAAACTCGCGTGTAAGAATCTAGTGGCTTAATAACCTGCTGGTAGAAATTTGCTTCTTTATTACCCAGCAATATAAGAACCAGGTTGGCCAAACGAGATCAAGCAGGTTCTTATATGTGGGTTACAGTTAAATTAATAAGCTTATTCATCATCTAAAAAAGAGATTGAACAGGAACAGGTTAGTCACCAGCTTCGTTTCGTTAAGTTTATGCATCAGTCATTTAAAACTCCGGCCCCCCGACCCCCGGGACTTTGCGGGGAATTTAACATTGGTTTGGTGTTAATTGTCTTAAAAACGGCAGGCGGAAATCATGAAACATAAATGACTGTTCGTGTAATGTTCAATCACGTCACGGCACACGGGAGTTAAACTTGAAAAAGTTGGCCTAATTTTTTTAAGTTGCAATCCGTTTTCATCCAGGCCATGAAAACCAAATTCTTAAACTTATAGTCGAGGTACAGTAGTAGGGAAAGCCATTTTAAATATAACTGAACCATCTTTTTAAGGTTTTCTTTATTCCAATGTGTGTTCGTTTTAAATGTAATAAGTACGCTGGTGGGCTTACAGTTACATATAGAAGGTGGATGGTGTTTAACATCTTAAAATGTATGATTTTTGCCAGAACGATGGAGAAGTCAGTGAAACTGAAGAAGAAACCCCATTGTATGAATCAGTGGATGATCAAGAACGGGTGGGTTGCTGATATTTTTCGTATAGGTTTTTTTTTTTAAGGGACTGCGCAATAATTATTAGGAGGAGTAGGCCGGTTGTAAAAAGGAAGGGGCGTTTTCCATTGCTTATTCCCTATTCACACCAACTAAACGTGTTTTATTAAACTAGGTTTTAAAACTGAATGAAAAATATCAATAGTAAACTAGAACACAGGCTTTTACACAAAATTCTAGTGAACTTTTACTTTGCAACCGGAAAAGGTAGCACAGGAGTTAAACTTGAAAAAGTTGGCCCCGTTTTTTCAAGTTGCAATCCATTTCCATCCTGGCCGACATTGAAAGCCAAAGACACAGACAATTATAATCGAGGTTTAGCAGTACGTAAAGTCATTTTAAATAGAACTGAAGCATTACTTCAGGGTTTCCTTTCCTTCCAATGTGTATTTTCCCTGCCAGCAGAGATCTCTTTTCCCCGGTATTCGGCAGGCGGTAGGAAACGAGCCCTCTGGTCGCAGGGAAGTGTGTGTTTAGGGTTTAAAAATAATTCCAAAATATCATGACATTACTTTTTAATGGCAGTACAAAGATGATGAACCTTTCGTTTTTTCACATCGTAGGAGATAAACAATCAGACTGCCGAGTCTCAAGTCTTGCCTGAGTTAGAAGATTTGTCCACTGATGAGGTAAAGCCTTTCTTCGACATTGTTTTTAAACAGCGTTTAAGGGCCTGTTTACGTGGGAGTGGGGACCCCAGGTAGGTGAGGTAACTCGCTTGGGTGCGGTAACCCGCCTGGCCATATAAATGTTTATTTTAATTTGATCACGTTTACATGATCCCGTATCCGGGGTCCCCCACCTACATGTAAACAGGCCCTCAGTTAGATCCTCGCTGGAAACAGAATTAGGTATTTAGGCTTCTACTTGCGCAAGGCTGTTAAAAGGCATGTCCGTTTGTTAATTGATGGTGATGACTTTCTGACGTGTTTTTTGCGTAACTTTAAAAACTAAATGCGAAGTGTCGTTCTCCAGTTTCTGATTCTGAGTTGCAAGGGAAAGTCTTCGTTGAAATGTGTTTTAAAAGATAGATAATTAGGCCTCTACACTTGTCTTGAAATTTCATTTCGAAGTTTTCTGCTGTTGAATGTCGTTTCATGATTTATTTTGTCGCAGGACGAAAAAGGGAACCTCGAGCTTGATAATGCAAGATCGTCCGTAGACTATGAGTACTCTCTTTTTTCTCTTTAAGCTGCCGCCCTCGTTTCTCGCGTGTCGTGGCTTCGCCGCTCGACACACGCTCGCGCACGGGTGCAGTGCCCTCGCTAAATCTGAAGAAAAAGATAGACTGTTCGCAGTCTAGAATATTGTCAATTTGTCAATGTTTTACATTCAAAAGATGCAAAGAGTTGTAAAGATAAAGACTTTCAGTGTTAATGTGAACAGTTCATTTGTTTTTGTCCGTCCGTTATACTTTCAGCAGCCTTTGTTTATAAGGCCTCCATTGCGGAGGATTTCTGAGTTGGTGGTTAATAATTAGGTTAAATGTTTTTGAAATGAGAACCCAACCCGTGTAAAGGAGGTGAAATGGTGTTTAGTATTGTTTTGTGATTTTCGAGTTTTTGGTAGACTTAACACTGAATTCCTTCTTCTAAAATCCTGAAATGCTGTAGCTGAATCCTTCCATATAATAGTATATAATGTTTACGTCCCGGAGCTCAGATATAAAATGTCAATGACACACTGGCGTAGAACAGTGCGTCTTTAAACTTGCTGATTGGAAATAGGAAAGGCTGGATATACTTAAGCTTCATGGCCTCTTATCAGAGGATTTCCTAATTGGGCTGTAGTTTATTACGTTGAGTGTGATTTTGTACCTGTGTTTTTCTTTTGTAGGCCGATGAAAGGGGGAGAAGGAGATGCTCGTGCTGTATTATCATGTAAATTACTGTGCAAGTTAAACAGGAATATTTAATATGATCCAACTTTCTGGACTAGATTTTTAGAAACTTGCGGTTCTTTTCTTTAATTGTGTTTTACTGAAAGAGTTGAGAGAGTCCTGGTGCTCAATAAAACAGACTTGGAGTAGTGCGCTGGAACAGAAAATGACAAGAAACTTCGCAAAAACATGGGCGGATCCAGGGGGAGGGGGGCGGGAGTGGATGGCCAGCCACCCTCCTTTAGAACAGCTCACCAAGAAAAATATACCAAAATATAATGTGTGGAAAAACATACGAAAATACGTGGGTCCCAAAGAAATCGAGAAAACTACCGGTGACAATATCTTTCCTTGACGTAATCTTCTCAGGAAAAGAGAGCACATTATGAGCTCTGTGCTCTTATTTCTCAAGTAATCACCTCTAAGTCTCAAGAAACCACAGTAGAACTCAGGCGCAGATCCACACCTGTTTCCAACTTTTTACGAAAATCGGTCATAAATAGATATATTTTGAATGGAAAAAAAATCCAAGTTGAAAACTTGCCAATATCCTGTCTGAATGACTCAGAAACCCAGAAAAGAGGGAGCTTGAGGGAGGTTAAAATTTCAAAAAATTCCCGGGGAGCATCCCTTCCAGACCCCCCTAGAAGCGTGCGCCTTAGTAGACGCTCTTTTGGGAAATCCGTCAGTATGTATTCTAGATCCGCGCCTGGAACTTGCTTAAGTATTGCATGAGAAGTGGGGCCATCTGATACACTTCCCGTCATCTTTCGAAAGTCAGGAACTGTTTCGATGAATGAACCAATGGAAGCGACAGGCAACGCCGGATTATTAATCCATCTCGGTCTCCTCACAAACATATAACACGCATACAACATCTTCTTCCCAAACGTGAGGGAACGTCTAAAAATTCTCGCCGTTTTGCCTCTGGAAAGCTCGGAGGTGGAGACGTCATTTTTTTCTATTCGGAGGATCTGTACTTGGCTTCGCAACGCAATGACCGCGGAACGACTCTCAGATTTGGCCGTCATCGCCGGCCATGTATGCAAATGCAGTTACCATCGATAGAAGTGTGGCTTGTGAGAAATTTGTGGTCCTGCACCCTAGACGAATGACAGCGTCTTTGCTTTTGGCGGACTAGGTTAGTAGGGTAGTTCTTTACGCTCTACTTCTTCTATTTTGTGGCGTTTCAAGAGTTTACAATGTTACAGTCTCCAAATCGCCATGTTTTGGGACAAACGTAGGACAATTTTAAAATAAAGTAACGAATAGTTTCGATTATAGTTTGGTGGCCGATTGTTATCAGCCACCCCTCATTAAAAAATCCTGGATCCCCCCCGAAAATTGACTGGTGCACTTCGCAAAAACAAAAGAAAACTCGGAAACGACTAAGAATCGTATGCCACTTCTGCAAAGATGGCTTCCTAAGAAACAAGGACTCAGTTGAACAAATTCATAGATTGTTTTTTCTTTCGTTGTGCGATTACTGGATTTCGAATAATTTTGTCACTTTCTGTTTCACGATCCTTTTTCTTTCTCCGTAATTGTGTTTGACAGCGTCGAGTAACGTTAACTTTAGCTACTCTTTATTTGCGACAGTAAGAATGTCGCATTAGCTACTGAAGTAAGATTTAGGGCCTGTTTACTAACCCTCTTAGGTGGTGTAACCCGCCTGTCCATAGAATCTCTCATTTTAATCTGATCACGTTTACATGATAGGTGGGGTGACGCACCACGTGTTACCTCACCTACCTCATACCTGGGGTCCCCCACCTCCATGTAAACAGGCCCTTAGCAAAAAACAGGGAAAACTAACAAAAAGGCCAATCAGAAAATTCATCTCGTATTGCTAATCAGAACGCACCTGCAAAGCTGGCGTCAGCAGAATTACAAATGAGGCGTCAACGTTATATCGCAACAATAGAAACGGTACCATATTTGATTGGAGCATGCGCATTTACTGGTATACTGGTATACATCACTCTGACATAATCGTTTTCAAAAAACTGCGTTTTCATCCATTGACACGACTACAGCACAACTGCGTTAAGGATTCATGGACAAAAAAATTGTTCTGGACACACTCGTTTGGTTCACTGGCCACAGAAACCAGTTTTGAAAGCAGCATTTCTGTTCAAGACATTAAAAGCCATCGTAGATATAAGTATGTATATCTAGACTGTATTCTTTTTTAACGTAATAGCGCTTCCAGTGATCTTGAGCAACTACGAGCGACGATGTCTAAGATCTTAAATTTCTTCAGTAGGGATCGTCACAACCTTGATTCGTCGGAAATACCCATTGATAGTCTCACGCTTTGAGCGAACCTTCTTGGAACCAAGATACAGTGTGTCATGAATTAATAAGTATTTTTTAGCTTTATGTTTTCAACTGAATGCTTGTGTTGAACTACGCTAAAATTAGTTTCAACTGAAATGATATATGGCTGAAGTGACAAACTGTTTCATTTTTAATTAATACATCCAGTGCCGGCTGTACGGATTGAATTTCTAGTTTCACCCATGTATGCATGTTAAGCAAACTCTGCGACAGGTAGATGTCGTGGAGCCCTCTTATTTTTTGTATTTTTACTTACTAAAATAAAAGTTTCACTTGCAATTTTAGCCGAGTTTCTTCTTGTGTTTGTGCCCGGGGGTACTCCTAGGAATTCTTGGTCGGGGTGTGCCGCCCGGTTCTTCAAATCCTCACCCGATTTCAGACCAAAAAATGTAATTTTCCACACCCGTTTTCAGACTAGACCTCTAAAATCCATAACCGTTTTCATACCTGGCCTTTAGGCAGAAATTATGTTATCATTACTTAGATTAGAGTGCAAACAAAAAATTATTCAAATCCATTTCGAATAGGCCATTTGCACTAAGAGGCATGTGACATTGTTTTTATGAAAATGAAAGTTACATGATTTTGCCTTCGAAAAACGATTAGTGGGTCATATCTTAAACAAAATAATAGTCATTTGGTTTTTCAAACCCGCACCATTTTCTTAAAATGAATAAGTTCGTAAATGGTCACGTGACCAAAATGGGATTTTTAAAATTATGAATTACCTCTCTCTGAACACAAATTTTGCACTTAAACTTCAAGGAAAATGTTGAAAAGATGATGTGATAACGTTTACAGCACATCTGAGCGTAACTGTGAAACGTTGAACAAGATATAAGCAAGAAGTAGTTTTGTCCGCCATGTTGGAGGGCAAAAGCATGCCCTGCAACATGGCGGCCAATACAAATCATACTACTTTGCTGAAAAATCAAAGTGCCATAAAATACCTCCCTTAAATGCGTTTCCTCTTAAATTTCGGGTGTAAGATAATTTTTGTGTGCTGTAACAATTTTTGGCATCAGCAAGATTCCAACTCATTGTTTAAAGGAAGCATTGGTCACGTGACCTCTCAGTGCAAGTGGCCTATTCGCATACTTCTCTTTCTTTCTCACTCATTTGGAATTGAAGCGATAAATACTCCGTAGTTCGCTATAAAACCATACCCGATTCCAGACTAAAATGGTCAAAGTGTTTACCCGTTTTCAGACCAAAACAGCGCAAAAACCCTACCCGATGAGGCGGCACATAGCTATATGGCTTATATATGGGAGTACCCCCCGGGTGTTTGTGATAACCTCTGGACAGATACAAATTGGCACCCGCCTCGCCCTCATTCTACATGCCGCTGACCAGGATTTCGTATTACTTCCATCGCTTTGATTGATTTTCGTACCAGTCGAATTCTTGCAGTGATAACTAGCCTGCATGTTTCAGGCGTTCACTGAGGGCAGTGCGGCGTGACGTGACGCTGTTTTTCCTTTTCTCCTTGCGAAGTCATCAAAACAGACTACACAATGACAGACGATATAACAAAAATGCACCGCCTTATGAGCGAAAAAAAAAAGGTATATGTAGTTTTTCCGTCATAAACCATAAATGATCCCGAAAGTTAAAAGACAACTAGCAGATAGAAAACCGTATTTTACTACGGCAGAGTCTGCAGGTGGGGTTAACTTAGTTGCATAAGAGCGGTAAGTCGCGGGCTCAAATCCTGTGACAAGACCGATACTCAGCGTAGTTTTATAGTAACTGGGAAATAAAGTTACTGCTTTCGCCCTGTCAATGACTAGACCTTCGCGTGGCTTCGTGTCCACCTGGAAACGGAGGTTCTGTCTCTTCTAGGAAACGTAAAACGTACAGTGCCTTCAATTAGTACTTGCCTGCGTATTACGATGACATCGCTAGGTAAGGCAGTTTTTCTGTCATATGAGGGGAAACCGGGCTTTTCCGTCATGGTCACGTTCTCTCTTTGTTAAGATCGTTGCTCACGAATCGTCTTCAACTGACGCGTTGTCATCGCGGATTTAGTTTTTCTTGGATGCACGTCAATTCCGTTGTGCCGCAAGGTACAGCGTTGGGACCCGCACTGTTTTTGATTTTCATCAACGAAATTGATAACAAACTAACTTCATCTAAAAAGTGGTTCACAAATGACAAGAAAATGAGCCGTATATTTTAAACTTGAATGCAGAGACGAACACGGTATTAGTAGTATTGCTGTCTCCTCAGGGGCTGCATACCCAATTAACCCAAGTTAGTCTCGCTGCGCACAACTTGGTAATGCTGTACGATCAAGCGATTTGACGTTGTCTTGGGAGTTAAAAAAAACTAGGGCATGGCCCATTCTGGCCTACCCTTCGGTTTAGGCTATGACAGACCAAAAATTTTGTACTTTTGCCTAAACATCACGAAAGAAAAACCTGAGCAAAGTAAAAGAAGAAGCAGAGAAGAGGGAAAACACCTTTGACAGAGACCACTATTATGGAGCTTAAGCAACGACGACGTCTACGAGAACGGCAAAAAAGCAATTGGTTTAGATTGGCAAAAACAACAACTTTGCACGTGCAACACGCTTTTTTGTACATTTCTTTGCCGTCACTGCACGACTACGACATGAAGATGTCTATTTTCACGTTTTGTGGAGGACGTGAACGCAAGACCACGGCTTTCTTTTTCTTATCTTGAACTTTCGATACAGTTTTTT